TCTATAAATTCGATGCAATGGCTATCAAAATACCAACATAATTTTTCACAGAAATAGAAGAACAATCCTAAAATTCATATGAAACCAATAAAGAGCCAGAACTCGCCAAAGCAATCCTGAACAAGAAGAATAAAGGTGGGGGCATTACATTATCTGACTTCAAAATATATTACAAGGCTGTAGTAACCGAAACAGCATAATATTGGTATAAAAATAGACACACAGACAAATAAAATAGAGAACCCCAAAATAAATCCATGTATTTACAGCCAACTGATTTTCAGCGAGTTTCCAAGAACATACATTGGAGGAAAGAACACTCTCAATAAATCGAGTTGGGAAAACTGGATATCCGTAGGCAGAAGAATGAAACTAGACCCTTATCTCTCACCATATGTATTAAACTCAAGATGGATTAAATACCTAAACATAAGGCCTAAAACTATAAAACTACTAGAAGAAAATATAAGGGGAACACTATAGGACATTGGTCTAGGCAAAGATTTTATGGTTAAGACTTCAAAAGCACAGATAACGAAAACAAAAATGGACAGATGGGACTATATTAAACTAACAGGCTTCTGCACAGCAGAAGGGCAGAAAGAAACAATCAACAATTAAGAGACAACTGGTTGAATGGGAGAAAATATACGCAAACTATTCATTCAACAAAGGACTAATATAAAGAACACACAAGAATACACAAGGCACTCAATGGTTCAAAAAGAAAACACAACCACCAAAAAAAGAAAAACCAAAAAAAAAAAAAAAATTAAAACATGGGCAAAGGACATGAATTCACATTCTGAAAGATATACAAATGGCCAACAGGTATATGAAAAAATGTTCAACCTCACGAATCATCAGAGAAATGTAATCAAAACCACAGTGAGATATCATCTTACCACCGTTAGAATGGCTTTCTTTTGGAGACAGCTCTATTGCCCAGGCTGGAGTGCAGTGGCACAGTCTTGGCTCACTGCAACCTCTGCCTCCCAGGTTCAAGTGATTCTTATCCCTCAACCTCCCAAGCAGCTAGGACTACAGGCATGCACCACCATGCCCGGATAATTTCTGTATTTTTAGTAGAGACAGGGTTTCATCATGTTGGCCATGCTGGTCTCCAACTCCTGAGCTCATCCTTAGCCTCCCAAAGTGCTGGGATTATAGGCATGAGCCACCGCGCCCTGCCAAAATGGCTATTAATAAGACCAAAAAAAACACGCTGCAGAGGATCTGAAGAAAAAGGAACTTTTATACACTGTTGGTAGGAATGTAAATTAGTATAACCACTATGGCAAAGACTATGGAGATTTCTCAGATGACTAAAAATAGAACTACTGTATGATCCAGCAATGCCACTAACTGGGTCTTTATAAAAAGGAAAAGAAATCAGTATATCAAAGGAATGTCTGCACTTGTGTATTTATCACAGCACTATTGACAATAGCAAAGATACATCATCAACCTAAGTGTCTATCAACAGACACACAAATTAAGAAAATGTGGTATATATACACAATGGAATACTATTCAGTCATAAAAAATGAAATCACAACATTTACAGCAACACGAATGGAACTGAAGTTCATTAAATTAAGTGAAATAAGCCTGGTACAGAAAGATAAATACCACATGTTCTCACTCATATGTGGGAGCTAAAAAACTTAATCTCATGTACACAGAGAACAAAGTGATAGATACCAGACTGGAAAGGGTTGATGGGTGTGAGGGGAACATGAAGAGAAGTTGGTTATGGGTACAAACATACAGTTAGATGAAATAAATTCCTATCTTTGGTAATTTTGATAGTGATGATACTTAGTAACAATATTTTATATATTTCAAAGTAATTACAAAAGAGGACTTGAAATGATACCATACGTACAGAAATGACAAATATTCAAGATGATGGATACCCCCAAATACACTGACTTGATCATTACACAGTCTATGCAAGTAACACTCACATATACCTCATTAATATGTAAAATATTGTGTGCCAATAAAAGAAAAAGAAACAGTGGAAGAAGATAGGGGTGGGGTGAAGGGGGACTGGGGAGATACAGGTCAAAGGATACAAAATTTCAGTCAGGCAGTAGGAATAAGTTCAAGAGATCTACTGCACAATTTGAAGACCCTAATAACAATATCTTAATACTTGAAAAACCACTAAAAGTTTAAATTTGAAATATTCTCAATATAAAAAATAAGCATCCAAGGTAATATATATGTTAACTAGCTCAACTTAGCCATTCTACAAGCATACATACTTCAAAATATCATTCTGTATACAACATACACACTTCTAGTCAATTTAAATAACCTTAAAAATGTAATTTAAAAATAGAGCAGAATAACTATGTATATAGCATTAATAAGTAAACTAGACATGATTTAAAACATATGGGAAGAAGTGCAGTTATAGGCAAATACTAAGCCATTTTATATAAGAGACCTGAGCATCCATGGATTTTGGTATCTGTGGGGGTCCTGGAACCAATCCCCCCGAGATACCAAAGGGGTGACTATACTCCAAATTCTGACCTACAATTTCATACCCTGATAAACTAACATCAATAAAAGGATGAAGGGGAATTGAGATTTTCAGACATCAAAGGATTCACATTTTATATTGCATAAATTCTTTCTCAGGATTTTACTTGAGAGTGAATTCCAACAAAACCAAAGACAAAATAAATAAAATAAAATAACATAAAATAAAATAAAGAAATAAAAACACCAAGGTAGATGATTCACATGGAACAGAGAAGCAATCCCAAGAAATCAGTAAAAAGGCAGGCTCTGTTCACAGCCCAAGAGAGCAACCAGTATGGTTTACAGCAGGCCTCCATGATGAAAGTATTCAACCAAAAAAAAAAAAAAAAAGTCAAAAACAATATTGAATTTTTTTTAAATCAGGATATAACAAAGGTAAATATGAGGAGACAGAAAAGGAGAAGAAAATTCATCAGAACAGTAAGAAGGGGAAATTGTATACCTGGCCTAAGTATAAAGCAAACTACAATGTATCATTAGCCTATTACTGCCAAATGAGGGAAGAATAAAAGGTAAGAAAAAAATCGGTCATTTGGCTTTGATGTTTAAGAACATTCACTTCTGAGTGACTCAGGAATTATAACACTGGATTTACTGAGAAAGAAATATAAACTGGCCAGGCGCAGTGGCTCACGCCTGTAATCCCAGCACTTTGGGAGGCTGAGGCGGGCGGATCATGAGGTCAGGAGATCGAGACCATCCTGGCTAACACGGTGAAACCCCGTCTCTAATAAAAATACAAAAAAATTTAGCTGGGCATAGTGGCGGGCGCCTGTAGTCCCAGCTACTCGGGAGGCTAAGGCAAGAAAACGGCATGAACCCGGGAGGCAGAGGTTGCAGTGAGCCAAGATCGCGCCACTGCACTCCAGCCTGAGCGACAGAGCAAGATTCTGTGTAAATAAAATAAAATAAAATAAAAAAAATATATATATATCTATATAAATTGAGTACATTATTAGGCCAAATGGTGAACAGTATTTAAATAATTATAGTAATGTAAATGCTACTCATTGCTTTTCAAATCTTAGATCAACTATGAACCAAGTACTGAAGATAGATTATACTTGTAGGCATAACATAATTATTAGAAAATTTGAAAATATAAATGTACAGCTAATAGAAATGAGGATATTAGCCAGGGTAGGGGAGAAGGAAGATGGAATAAAAGAAGGGGTGCTAACAGAGGTTTAAATATATTAAAATTACAATGGTAACAAAAACTTTAATTTTGATAAATATCAAACATGAGGAAAGAAAAATAGAAACAAAAACAGTACAAGTGTGTTGAATCTAAATATTCATCTCAAGAAATCAGTTCACAAATTAATATATTTAGTAAGTTAAGTTGATAAATCAGGAATTAGAGGTATAAGCATATCTCCTAAAATTCTAGAATCACCAGAATAAAGGGAAAATAATTTGTTTTACATTTTAAACAATTTTAAATTGTCTAAAAACAAACTATCCAGAAAATATAGCTGGGAATAAGGAATAAATGGAGAAAACTTACTCTTTATCCTCAAATATTATTTTATTAAAAAATTAATTTAATTGGAATATTCTGTGTAACTTCTGTCCTACTTCTTTCACTTTCCAACTTAAAAAACAGTCTTCAGTCAGATGTGGTTGCTTATGCCTGTAATCCCAGCATGTTGGGAGGCTGAGGTAGGAGGATCCCTTGAGCCCAGGAGATAGAGGCTGCAGTGAGCTATAATAGTGCCACTTGTACTCCAGCCTGGGCAACGGAGCAAGACTCTGTCTCTAATTAGTTAATTAATTAATTTGAAAAGTGGTTGGGCATGATGGCTCACACCTGGAATCCCAGCACTTAGGGAGGCAGGGGCAGCAGGATAGCTTGAGCCCCAGGAGCTTGAGACCTACCTAGGCAATATAGTGAGACCTTGTTCTCTAAAAAATAATAATAAATAATTAAAAATTAATACTTTTAAAAATCTTTTGTTTCCTCTGAAATCTTTTAATCACTGTGTTAGTCCACTTAGGCTGCTATTATAAAACACTATAAACTGGGCAGCTTTTAAATAAAAGAAATTTATTTCTCACAATTCTGGAGGGTGAGAATCCAAGATCAGGCATTCTCAGATTTGGATTCTGGTGAGGTTTCTAGCTCCCTGCCTCAGAGATGGAACCTTCTTGCTGCATACTCCTACATGGTTGAAGGGGTGAACAAGCTCCCTTGAGCCTCTTTTATAAGGGCACAAATCCCATTCATGAAGGTTCCACCCCCATGACTTAATCACCTCCCAAAAGGCTACTTTCTAACACATCACCTTGGGGGTTAGTATTTCAACATAAGAATTTTGGGGAACACATTCAGACCACGGTAAGCACGAAATGTAATGACATTTCCACAGTCCTCATTTTACTTAGTATTTTAATCAAGCATTCATTTCACTTCCAGTATTTCTTTTTAGCCTCTTTTCTTTTTTTTTTTTTTTTTTTTGAGGTAAGGGTTAGAACAGAAAGGGAGCAAAAATACTTCACAAGATCAGTGTTCCAAAGAACACCTGGGGAAATGCTGGTGGGAAGTGTTCCAATTACAAATGTATCACTGCTTTTATTCAAGAATATTTAATCTTCTAGCTTTTGGCACTGAAAAAAAAGTCTAATACTATAAGGTCAACATAAGTATTGTGATGTTTATTAGCTATGCTTCACTGCCTTTCCTCCATAATCATATTAATGTGCAAGAAGCCTAAAATGACCTACAAACCTGATTTAGGGAAACACTAAAGATATTGAGTCCAAAGCGCAAAATGATGACATATCACTCACTACAGTTATCCTGTAGTAAATCTCAATATTCCCCACAGAAAATAGTAAATACATTACAAAAGAAGAGCGGGGTGGGGGGGCAGGGAAAGCAATAAAGAAACTGTGCAAGAAATTCAGTGAATAAGAAGATCAAAAGTCTACAACTGATCATTAGATAATATCCAGTTTTCTTTAAAATATAATCAATTTTGACTTTTAAGAGTGTATTAATTTGTTGCTTTGGGCCACTCACGTCTATTTACAAGAAAGAGGGCACATTTGTCATAACATAACTGAACATGAAAGACCCATATAAGTTTGAGTTTTGCACTTCAAAGTTATTGGTAAAAGGAAAAAAGTTAATTAATAGAGTCAAACTTATAGAAAAACTAGCTGATTTTATTATTATCAATGCCAAACAAATCTTTAAATCAACTAAAATTTATTTAAGCATAAAGTTACTTTCACATTTGTCTACAACCACAGTAAATACAGTTCTTGGCATAAAGACATAGCCTTTAGAATTTAAAGCCTCCCCACCTGCAAGATTACATATATAAAACTCCCACTATTGTTTATGTAATAGTGGATCAATCAAATTAAAATAGTTATACCATCTAGAATAAAATAAAATGGAAATAATTTACTCGTAAGATTCATATTTAAATCATCTTTATTTACAAAATACTATCCTGAGAACTGTAATTCCATTAAGCTTCAATTTGAGCAAAAGTGTAATCACTTAAGTAACAGCAGTTACTTAAACTGGAAATGAGATCAGTCAAAATTACTTTTGAAGAGAGCAAAAATATTGTCAGGTTTCTTGCTGTGGTTCTGGATGTTCAGTAGCAGGCTCATTTGAAGGCGGAATCAACCCTGAAGGGAACTCACTTCTACCTTCAGAATGTGGGGGTGGGGGGAAAAATCCAGGTCTTGGGGGAAGGTAAGGAGGAAAACCCCTCGGTGGATAGACATTTCTCACTGTTCAAAGAGATTGGTAAAAGACATTTTTTAACTTTAAGAACCTGTACTGTGCCCTAATAAATCATTAAGTTTATAACTTCCATTACCTATTCTTTTCTTTGAAAATTGACACCAGATAATTACTTCATCTAACAAATTACTTTTTACATTGAGAAAAATGTACCTCTTCCAATACAGAAGATTAAAGGAAATATCATTAATTTTTTATGTAATTTTTGTCCTATCTTAACACCTGTTTTTAAAAAAAGAGGAATTATTTCAAAATATATAAAACTTACTGTAAAAATAACATTTTTATCTTTCATTATCAAAGTCCTTCTCAAAAAACATTTTCATGTAATATTTTCACCAAACTTAAAATTCATATCAGTGATCCCCGACTCTGATTTGATATTATACTGAAACATTTCCAGTAATATCAAAGGCCACCTTAAAATTCCCCCAAACAAAATTCATTTTAATTCACCTTTAACTTTAAAAAGAGAGGAGAAATAAGGAAAGGAATGACTATATGAGACATTCATAGGAAAAGCCTAGTATTTGGTAACCACTTATTTATTCTGCAGAACCTTATAGTTCAAAACAGTAAAGTATGAATATAAAAGCAATGTATTATTCCCTTTTTCTTATGTGAAGCTTTAAAAGAATTCAAAAAATCCAAAAATTAGGTCAAACATATTAAATACATTTTAAATTTTAAATAAGTAGGACTACATCAGAACTACTTATGAAAAGGACTAAAAAATAGCCAGTAATTGTAATGCTAGAATATAAGTTTTAATTATTTTCACTAAGTGCCAAAATGACCAGTTGCTACCAGATAAGGTACAGATGATTTGAGTTTTATCATAAGACCTGCAAAAAGTCAATTATTTTCTTGACTACCAAAATACAGAAATAATTCCATATTATTAAGATGAATCAAGGTGAAACCTCATTATAGTCCACTTATGGCTGGCTGCCTTCCCAATTCGGAAAAGTAATGGTACACTCACAGAATGCTAGAAAAATGTTTCCTCCACTGTGTTACTACATTAACAGATAGTAAAATTAAATCTCTGATTAATAAAACACATATTGAGCTTTAAAAAAAAGTTTAAAAAAGCATACTTGCAAATGGAGCATGTGGTGGACCTGGGAAATCCCTTGGTGGAAAATAATCTCGAGAAGTTCCAAACATGGCTCCTGGAGGAGGTGCAGGGAAAGGAGGTCCTCTTCTCAAGAATGGGCCCCTTGTATCCACTGGAAACAATGGACCTCTGATTGGAGCAAGAGGTGGAGGAACAAAGCCAGGTCCAGTTGCTTCATTTTCAGCAGGGAGAGATGAATCAGGCACATTTAAATTCTACAACAAATTGACATATGGCAGTCACTAAAACAGCAAATTTGCAATTGTTTTCCTTAAAATCTCAGGCTTAAAAGAAACCATCTAGACAGAAAGCATTCCATGATAGTCTTAGAAAACTCTAGAGAAAGATTCAAACAGCTTTCCACATTAATCTATTAGCTATCACATTTTAGTTATCACAAATATTTTATTAAGTCAACAGAAAACAGCTTTAACCAACAAAGTAATAGTCTGTCTAAAGATAAAACAGAAATATAACCCAAGAGCACCAAAATATATATTATTTTATCAAATATATACTGGAAAAAAAGAAAAAGCAAGATGTCTATGTTTATATTTTCCAAAAAACCATTATCTTAATAAAAAAAAATTTTTAAATATTCAAATAAAAATCCAAGGGCGAGGGGAACTAAAATCTTGTTTAACTACTAAAATAACTCAAACTCCTAGTCTGCAAATTGTATTTTATCACCACAGGTTACCATCTACAAAAGAAACAGCTTTAATGCTAAGTAGAAAGTATATTAATCAAAAAGAAAAAATCAGCTTTATATCAAAAGCTAGACTATTAGCTGTTATTTCTATTCTAGTAAACCATGAGATTGGAAGGCTCAGGCCAGGCGCGGTGGCTCAGGGCCAGGCACAGTAGCTCACGCCTGTAATCCCAGCACTTTGGGAGGCCGAGGCGGGCAGATCATCTGAGGTCAGGAGTTCAAGACCAGCCTGGTGACACTCTGTCTCTACTAAATATACAAAAATTAGTTGGGTGTGGTTGCACGTGCCTGTAGTCCCAGCTACTCAGGAGGCTGAGGCAGGAGAATTGCTTGAACCCGGTTTACAGTGAGCCGAGATAGCATCACTGCACTCCAGCCTGGGCAACAAGAGTGAAACTCCATTTCAAAAAAAAAAAGAAGGCTGTTGAATACATGGATACAATTCCACTCTTTCAATACTTACACCAAGATCATCTTTGGTATCATTTCTACTGGATTCCATTTCTGAAGGCATTGACCCATCTAGACATAAAAGTTAAACCATGAAAAGTACATGATTTACCACTTTATTCCTAGAGTATTTCCAGATCACAAAATTGGTATTTTCCCACTCCCCTTGTTGGCACATAAACCATTTGGACACCAATATTGTATACTGCGGCCATAAGAACAGATTGAGGTCCCTAGAAATTCTGGCAGACTCAGAGTTCTATGATGGCATGTGGCAGTGATTTCTCTGGCTAGTTCCTAAGCAATCCTGCTGGAGCAGCATACTAAGAAGACATCTGGGAGGAAGCATCTCCCTCCTTCCTTCTTTTCCCCCTCCCTCCTTTTATTTTTCCCTCTTATCCTCTTCTCCTTCCTCCCCTTCTTCCTTCTGTCCTTATTCCTGCAATAAGTAAGAGAGACTAGCCACTGGAATTTAGCTACTGTTCCTAAATAAATGTTCCTGAACTTTGTTATCATCAAGAAATGCAATCCTCTCTGACCATAACTACCTCTCCTCTTGTAGCTTTCTCATTTATTCTCACTACATCTGTCCTTAGAAGTCACTGATGCTTCTGACCACTGAGTTTCCTCCCTCACTTTCTTCCCCAATTAACTAGACTCCAAAGTCCATGACTTCAGCCAGTTATAAATGTCCTTGTCTTTACTAGTCATTTTTCACTTGTGCTTGACAACATTCAACTACAAACGGTAGCACTTAAATATTATTATGCCATATTAGGTACTGGTCAACCAGTATTAAAAAATGGGCAAATGTAAAAATTTTTAAATAGTGTAGAAATGGATGTTTAATCACCCATTACTTTCATTCCATTCAACCTGATTTAATGGGGGGAAAACAATTTCTAAAGCCAAACAGGAAGAATTCATTATAATTCTGTAAGGACCTTGGGACTGCTTTCTTTGCTTGTTACTTTTACAACCTGATTTTTGGCCAGACGCAGCGGCTCATGCCTATAATCCCAGCATTTTGGAAGGCCAAAGAGGGTGGATTACTTGAGGTCAGGAGTTCGAGACCAGCCTGGCCAACATGGTGAAACCCCATCTCTACTAAAAATACAAAAAATTAGCTGGGCGTGGTGATGGGTGTCTGTAGTCCCAGCTACTTGGGAGGCTGATGCACGAGAATCGCTTGAACCCAGGAGGTGGAGGTTGCAGTGGAGCCAAGATGGCACTACTGCATTCCTGCCTGGGCAACAGAAACTCTGTCTCAAAAATAATAATAAAAAAAATAAAATACTGACTTTCTAGGCTGAGCAAGGTGTCTCACACCTGTAATCCCAGCACTTTGGGAGGCCAAGGCAGGTGAATTGCTTGAGCCCAGGAGTTCAAGACCAGCCTCAACAACATGTCAAAACCTCATCTCTACAAAAAATTAGCCATGTGTGGTGGTGCACACCTGTAGTCCCAGCTATACTACATAGTTTACTATTTCAGAAAATCAATATTATTTTTTAAATTATGTATATATTATATATATGTTAATATATACACATATATATATTTAATAAAATATAAATATATTTCCTTTCCTGAGGAAACCTTTTACCAATACATTTAAATCTTGACTTTAAAAAAAAAAATTTATTTTCTTAATGTTATATACTTCTGGTTGATATACTGCATACATCTATTTCCCAACTTTAATGGGTTGCTATGAGGTAGTTTAAGTAAAAGAGAGCCGGACAAATAGATTGCTCAGTATATGTTAGTTATATCTAAGTTTGAAATGTTTAAATAATATAACTGATCACAATATCAACAGAGCATGCATCTAAATTGTTTGGTGGGTTTTTATGTATCCATTCACATTTGCCTGGCTTATTTCCCTGATTACTAAACAGGACACATGTAAGTGGACTAGAAAAATTAGAAAATTAGTCATAGAGCAGAGAAAAATTTATCATCATAGGTATATGGAGTAAACCTATTTCCATGGTGCTCAAACCAACCCACCAACATATATTTGGATGCCATGTCTGTGTACAATATAACAAGAAACATAAAACCAGGACATTTTCAGGAAAGAGATTTTGGCCTTAGGAACTACTAGAGATAGCAATTATATTGGTCTTTATTCTAACTTCCAGTTCTTTAGTGTGCCACCAACATTTTTAAAGAAGAAAAGCACAAAGTACTTCTTACCCATTTTATCCAAAGAAGGCATATTAAAACTTCTGAGTTCTGCTGGTCCAGACAGTCTACCAGAATTAGAAAAAAATCTGTCTTGCCTTTGTGGAGGAAGGGCTGAATCAGGATATGATTGTCCTAGAAAATAAGTTTTTTAAATGTCTTAATATAAATCAAGTTTACTTAAGTTTAATGTATTGAACTTAAGACTTTTGACCTGCATTCTAAAACTTAAATTCATCTTCTTGGTTGACAATAGTAGACAATTTCAGAAGAATTGCCTATTTTACTATAGGCAATAACTTTTATAGTAAACACAAGCATAATCTGCTACTTTGAATTTTGAAAGTTTCAATTACTATGTGTAAATTAGAACATGTGAAAACAGAATTTAGTTTATATATATAAACTATATATAAGCTACCTATATAGTTTAAACTATATGTATACAAAAATAAATATATATTTATATACATATAGTTTATATAATTTATATATATTATATATAAATTCATTTAACTTTCCATTTTAACAATGGATGGAAGTAAATACATCCATATATCAAAAAAGACCCAGGAAACAACTACTAACATAGGGAAAAAGTAAAGAGAAAAAACGTAAGCGCAGCAAGAAATTTAGCAGAATAGGTTATAATTTGTCATCAAAGCAGAAAGAGTATTCAGAGGTCATCACTGTCAAACTTTTAGTAATACTGACATTTTGGAATTTAGTATCTATTCCAAACCAAATGGAAAGAGATGGGTATGGTGGCTCACACCTGTAATCCCAGCACTTTGGGAGGCCGAAATGGGTAGATCACTTGAGGTCAGGAGTTCAAGACCAGCCTGGCCAACATGGTGAAACCCTATCTCTACCACTACAGAGGACCTTACTGACACATCATCTCTCCTACACAAAACCAAAGAAACCACCTGGCATCAACCAGAGTCAATGAAGAGATTATATTTAATGAGCTCCCAATGGTCAGGAAATGTGACTGAGGAGAGAAAGATCCAGATAGTTTGAAGGCTCATTTACACTCCCTTTCAAAATCCTAGGGAGGAGCTGTTTCAACGGGTTTGAGTTAGCCTAATGAAAGAAAAGGTCAGTACCAACCACTGAGATCTAAACTCAGTTTTCCCTTTCTACTTCAAACATAGGATTAAATGGTGGAGTTGGACGAGGGGATGAAATAAGGAAATCTGAACACCAACTCTTTTTTAACTAGGTCTCAAGATACTACATCATCATTTTGCTTCTAAATTATATCCCCATACACCAGCAATCTCAGAAATAAAAAATTTTGTTACAAATGTACTACTTTATAAACTACATGGCTATGTTGCCCTCCACTGGCAAAAGCAATTCATTCCTTAAATCTTACCAAGGCCTACTATGTGTCAGGCACAAACAATACAATGTTGGTCTTGATACACACCCTGCCCTTACAGTCTAATTCTGATAGAAACACATAAATACAATGTGATTAATGTCTTAATAAAAGGAAATATACATAATATAAGAGGCAGCCTATCTATTTCTGATTGCAGGAATCAGAAATGGAGTCAGAGGCAGTAAAGCTTGCCCTGAAAGAAAAGTAATGATGAACAAGTAATCAAGGGTATTCTGGTCAAATGCACATACACATATACACACATATACACATACATATACACACACCCTCATATGCACATATACACACACACATATACACGTAATAAGATACAGCTATGTGGAAAGCACATGACCAAAGACTGAACTGAACTACAGAAAAGAAGGACGTGAAAGGTCCCTTTCTTTTTTGCTTTCAAACTTTTGTTTTCTATAATAGTATTCTACCCTTATAATAGAAGACATGATTAGAAAGAAAGAATGGAAGGAAAAAAAATATAAGAAAAAAATGAATAAGGAGTGAGAATAAGTGTACAGGGCATTCTGAAGCAGTTTTGCAAACTAAGGATTATACCGCAGAAATAAGCTACTCTCATATACTTCATTCACAGCGTCTGTTGAGGACGATGGGGAGATATCTACTAAAACCAAAAACAGGCCAGGCATGGTGGCTCACGCCTGTAATCCTTGGGAGGCCAAGGCAGGTGGACTGCTTGAGGCCAAGAGTTTGAGACTGGCCTGGCCAACATGGTGAAATCCCATCTCTACTAAAAACACAAAAAAATGAGCCAAGAGTGATGGCACAGGCCTGTGATCCCAGCCACTCGGGAGGCTGAGACACAAGAATCGCTTAAACCCAGGAGGCGGAGATTGCAGTGAGCCAAGATCACGCCACTGCACCCCAGCCTGGGCGACAAAGCAACACCCTACCCCCCACAAAAAAAATTAAAAATAAAACCAAAAATGTGCATATCCTATTACCTAGTAATTCCATTTCCTGGACTAATCTTGAAAGAACATATGTACAAAAAGCGTGTTAGCTGCAGCATTGTTAGTAATGGAGAAATATTGGAGACACTCTAAATGGTCACCAACAGGAACTGGATAAATATATTGTGGTTTCTTATATACTGAAATACCATACCACAATTAAGGTAATAAACTCTCTATATATTAACATGGAAAGAATTCAAGTATGTAAGGCTGGTAAGGAAAGTTGATAAAACAGAACTTTAATATTTTTTTAATTATTATTATTATACTTTAAGTTCTAGGGTACATGTGCACAACGTGCAGGTTTGTTACATATGTATACTTGTGCCATGTTGGTGTGCTGCACCCATTAACTCGTCATTTACATTAGGTATATCTCCTAATGCTATCCCTCCTCACTCCCCCCTTCCCACAATAGGACCCAGTGTGTAATGCTCCCCTTCCTGTGTCCAAGTGATCTCATTGTTCAATTCCCACCTATGAGTGAGAACATGCAGTATTTGGTTTTCTGTTCTTGCGAGAGTTTGCTGAGAATGATGGTTTCCAGCTGCATCCATGTCCCTACAAAGGACACAAACTCATCCTTTTTTATGGCTACATAGTATTCCATGGTGTATATGTGCCACATTTTCTTAATCCAGTCTGTCACTGATGGACATTTGGGTTGATTCCAAGTCTTTGCTATTGTGAATAGTGCCACAATAAACATACATGTGCATGTGTCTTTATAGCAGCATGACTTATAATCTTTTGGGTATATCTTCCGTAATGGGATGGCTGGGTCAAATGGTATTTCTAGTTCTAGATCCTTGAGTAATCGCCACACTGTTTTCCACAATGGTTGAACTAGTTTACAGTCCCACCAACAGTGTAAAAGTGTTCCTATTTCAACACATCCTCTCCAGCACCTGTTGTTTCCAATTTTTTAATGATTGCCTTTCTAACTGGTGTGAGATGGTATCTTGTTGTGGTTTTGATTTGCATTTCTCTGATGGCCAGTGACGATGAGCATTTTTTCATGTCTGCTGGCTGTATGAATGTCTTCTTTTGAGAAGTGTCTGTTCATATCCTTTGCCCACTTTTTGATGGGGTTGTGAGAAAGAAATAAGGGGTATTCAGTTAGGAAAAGAGGAAGTCAAATTGTCCGGTTTTGCAGATG